ACATAACGCTACATTAATTGATAATTGTTTTGTGCTCAAAAGAAATTAAACAACAGCAGCAGCAGCAACAACAGCAACAACAGCAGCGGCTTTCGCTACGCTTTACCCTGCCCCTCTCCCACGCCCCGCCTGCTATTCAGGTCCGCACTTTTAGCTCCCCACGCCCCATTACGTTCAAAGCGTATGTGTGTGTGTGTGTGTGTGTTCGTTTGTCTACCGCCATTTGATTCTACGACTATGCGAATGCTCTTTAGTTGGAACCAATGTTTGTATACCCCATATTTAAAATGGCAGCGGGTATATTATGTCTACATATTTTTACTTTTCTCTTTTTTTTTTTTTAATTTTGCAAATTAATAAAGCTTGTTTTTATTTATGTATATTCAAAATGAATTTACTTAATATTGAAGTTATTTTTATCACTTCTGTACGAGCATAAACATGATTTGATATCCGATAATAATATTGATTGTAATCTATTAAATGAAACATTCACACCCCCTTCTAGGGTATTCGCTTAGTCTTTACTTTTGTTGTTTTTTATTCGTATGTGCTTTTGCTTTTTCATTAACTTTTTGTGCATGATGCTTGTTTTGTAAATGTTGAGGAAACTGTGGCATCTACGCCCTGCCCCCCCCCCTAACTCACCCCCGCATCTCTTTACCTTTCACTGCCTGAACATTCGCCAACTTAATTGAACGATTAGTTTTTGTACGTGCTGCCACGCCCAGCGCCCAGTGCCCAGCGCCCAAGGGTATCTGCTCAGCGTTTGTGCACTACGCCCAATGCCGTCCAACTTCCAGCGTCCAACGTCCAACGTCCACGCCCACAACGCCCACTTTTGTGCGCTTGTCTGTATCGGCCACTATTTAATTTTATCCGCTTTGCTGTTATTCCCGTTTTTATCGCAGTAAACTATGTACAACAATTTGCTAGCCAGCCCGCACCTCAACCCCTCGCTCGCCCTTTACCTTCTACGCGCAATTCAGTTTCTTTTCGCATTCGCCTTTTTGACTCGTTCGCTCGCACAAAGCAACAACTACAACAACAACAACAACAATCGCAGCAATACAGAGCAATGAAAAAAGTCAAATGCCAAAGCACTAAAAAGTCAAAAGGCCACAAGAACAACAACAGCAGCAGCAACAACAACAAATAGTTGTAGTTGTAATGACAAAAGAAAACAACAACAATACCAGAAGCAATATAACAACAACTCTGTTTTCGGTTGGGCCACTGTGGGGGTGCAAAGTTAAAAGCGCACAATAAATAAATAAAACAAAGCAAACGCACGAAACGATACACAGAAAAGCGTATTTGTTGTTGCTAATGTGCTGCCCGTTGTTGCTGCTGTTGCGCGCACACATTGCGACATGGCCAAACACGCACACACAGCATGCCTATACAAACATATGTGTGTGTGTGTGTGTGTGAGTAAGTGACAGCGAGCAAAGATGATGGCGATGCGGGAATGCTGGTAAGGTTGTCGAAGCGGGAGTGAGAGAGAGAGAGAGCGGAACGCGGCATGTAGCGGGCATGTTTGGCTCTGCTAGTCAACAGCAGCCGGCAGCTTTTGGCGTACACTCGTAATTTGAAGCAACACCCATCGGCTGGCGACATTATGCCTTTAGGCGGCCGAGCCACACCCCTGCTATCCCCACAGGTTGTTTCTGCTGCCTGGCTGGCCGGGAGCGCGCGCACGCCTGCTAACCGTTGATAATGATGATGAAGATGCCGTTGACACGCTCTTCCAGTGCCGCACAGTGGAGCACAACGAGCGAGCAGAGCAAAGAGATCAAGTGATTGACCGCACACACAACAAATTGACAGCCTACGATCCACGGTAAATGGCTCTTCAAAGCAGACAGCCTACTGCAAATGTGGCGCTGAAAAGAGAGCAATGAAATAATGCTCTCACTGTCAGAGGCTAGACAGCCAATGGGTTGAGTATAACGGATCACAGGCAAATATCAAGACTGAGAGAACGACGACCGGCAATGAAACATTAGTCTGATATACCAGAATTTATAAGAGAAAGATATATGTACATATGTATATTGCATTCAGTTTTTAATGGAAAGGTATGTATTATTTTCATAAAAGTTGGCAGTAAATACTTGCAGATTTAAGAGGCGGCCCAGCTGTTGACTTACAAATGCCACTGTGGCAGCGGTTGTTGCTGTTTTGTTTGTTGCCGTCGACGTTAACGCACACGCGCTTGAATCAAGGCGTGTGACTGTCAAACTGTAGCTGAGATGTACAACGGAGCAGGAGCAGCAGCTTGAGGTGCTGTAGCTGCGCCAGACTCTATGTTAATGTCGCCGCCGCGTGTCTGCCAGCTTGACTGCCTATCGCTGCGTGTGTGCGTGTGTGTGTACAAACACACGCGGTAATTAATTTTATTTAATTTTCGACGACAATAAAAGCGACAACAACAAGAGTCAAGGAGCAGCAGCCGCCGCTGCCAAAAGTTGACAGCAACAACTATGCAGAGTGTTGAATGGCAGTTGGCAGTTGGCGGATGGCGGATGGCGGATGGCGGGTGGCGGATGGCGGGTGGCTCACAGGAAAAAACAAGTTAACAAAACGTCAACAATAAAAAGAAAGCCGGCCAAATGGCCGTTCGACGCGGCCAACGGTGACGGCGCAAACAATGCAAAAAAAAAAAAAAAAAACCCGAAGAAAATCAAGAGAGAAGAGAAGCTTTACCAAGAGATATCCTGTACCCCGCAGGGATTTACCGTAGCACTTAACTGTGTCTTTGCTTCTTCTTATCTCTACATTACACTATGAGAAGTTTGTTCATTGGTTTTTTTCCATTTTGTTGTTGTTGGTGTGTGTGTGGTGGAGGGGGAGGGGGAGGGGGAGTGGGTATATAGATATTAATTAGTTGCCTTAGCTGTAATAATCTGCATGATATCAATTAATTTTGAAGACACGTAGAAAGCAATATACCCTTTCTTGACAACTGTTTACAGGGTATAAAAAGGAAAAGAAATGTCCAAATGGCGAGTGGCGACAGGCGAGTGGGTGGACATGGACACATAATTATCAACCACATCAGTAGCAGAGTTACAGGCCGAGTCAGCCGCAGACGGCCAAAGCATTGAGCGCGAGGGAGGGGCGAGTGGGGCGGAGGTAACTAAAAACTGCCAGGACTTAGAAAAACGCACGCATATGGCGCGCCAGAGGGAGAGAGCGAGTGAGAAATGGTGAGAGACAGCAGACAAGCAAGAGCGAGAAAGCGGAATTGTCGAAACGAAACGAAGTAGGGAAAACAAGTTTAACTTAATTGTCAACATTGCGCCAGGCAAAGAACAACAACAACAACAAACACAACAACAACAACAGCTATGCGGAAACGAAGCTGGCAGTAAAAAAGACGCATGAAAGTGGCGAAAGGCAGTAAGCGGAAGAGCATAAAATAACGGTACTAATGATGCAGCACGCAATGCTCGCCGAAAAGGCTGGCTGGGCAGCGCGGGCGGTATTGGGGGGTGGGGGGAGGGGGGGGAGGGCAACAAAACTGCCAAATAGCTGAAGTTGGAGTAAAAGCTAAAGTTAAAAAGTCACTGGATGAGTACCGTTAAACTCAGCTCAGCTGTCAATTTGACAGCTTTAAAGGCAGCCACACTTTCAGCTGAAATACGCTTCTATTTTTTCACGTAAAATCTGTGATTTACGAAAAACCAATTTACGGGTTGTTTTTTTTTTGAATAATAATATATATATACGTATGCATCTCCAGCGGGAAATTAACTATATTTATCCATATAAATTATGGCCCAATTAATCAGCTAATTTTAAGCTTTATGTAAAAAATAAAAGGTTGATAGTTTTGTTTTTTTTTTTTGGTTTTGTTGGCTTTTTACCTTAAACTAGCGTTGCGAATGGCAAACGCTGGTAACACTGGCCGGCAGCAGCTTAGCCCCTTGTGCCTTACCCCGCCCCTCTGTTAGATCCAATTTCATGGCAGGCAGTCAGTACCAAGTACATACCAAAAATGACAAAAACGTAACGAAAACAATACAAATAAGTTGGCCCCTCCCCGAGTCAGCGGAAAACCGCGCGCGCGTCACTAATGAGACTCTCTAAACACCCGAGCTTACCGAGCTCGACTCCACGCCGGCAGGCCGACTGAGGACCTGCGACAGGCGACTGGCGACTGGCGACTGGCGACCCATGACCCGCGCCCGCGTCCGCGACCCGCTTAACCCGCTCAACCGCCATTCCCTAGACAACAAGATGCCAGCATGTTTCTGCCCCGCTGACACAAAGCACACACACACACACACACACACACACACGCACGCACACAGAGACAGCTAAAATTCAACAAGCAGCTCGCGCCACAGCAATAAAATTTAAAAGCGTGATTATTTCTATACGCTGCAAAACAAAGCCCGGCATCAAGGAGTAAGCCAGCCAAGGCGGAGCTCGAATCGTTGTTGGCCTCAACTCGGGGTTTTTGGTCCCAGTGCTGCCTGCTAATTATGATTTGCTTTAAGCAAAAGCTAATTACAACTAATTTTGTGCTAAAAGCCGTAAGACAAACAACAACCGAAAAAAAAGAAGAGAGATAACAAACCTTGGAGCGTGAAATGGCAAAAAAAAAAAACAAAAAAAAAAGAATGCATTATTCACAGCAAAGCTTAGATTGAGAAAACAAAAGCAGCAATAATCTTTGAGTATTATGCAGTACAACATTTTCACAAACTTATTTCTCTTGAAAACTCAAAGAAAAGTGTAAGAAATTTTTGGATTCATCTCGAGTTCGCGCCAAATGCGACATTTAAATGCATTTAACAGTAGCTCGGTTTTAACAGCATGTTACCTATTCATGTAACAACATATCGATAGTATTTTTTTTCTCAATTTATATTTAGCGCATTTTTAGCATCCGACTGTCGCGCGGCATTCATTTATCGTTATCGATAGTATTTTGCACTTGATTATGCTTATCGTTTCGGCTTGGTATTTTACTATTTTGCGGATTTTGTTGCGTTTTTCCAATAACTTTACCAACTGGCTTTGGGTGCGCTGCACAAAACCGAGGAGAAATAATGGGTGATGTCGACAAATGGATAGAGATTGTAAAGGATTGCAAGTATTTGCCAGAAAATGAATTGAAAAAACTCTGTGATATGGTCTGTGACATACTGTTGGAGGAGACAAACATACAGCCAGTGAGCACGCCCGTCACAGTATGTGGCGACATACACGGCCAGGTGAATGAGCATGAGGGCATATGGTCACACTATAAATGGCAACCAAACTGCATCAAAATGTTGTTATTGTCGAATATAAACCATCTAATCGTTCATTTCGCTTACAGTTCTATGATCTGGAGCAGCTATTTAGAACTGGCGGCCAAGTGCCCGACACGAATTACATATTCATGGGCGATTTTGTCGACCGGGGCTATTACAGCCTGGAGACATTCACCCGTCTGCTGACGCTCAAGGCCCGCTATCCCAGCCGCATAACATTGCTGCGGGGCAACCACGAGACGCGCCAGATAACAAAGGTTTATGGTTTCTTCGACGAATGCTTTAGTAAATATGGTAATGCGAATGGCTGGAAATACTGCTGCAAGGTATTCGATCTGCTCACAATCGCTGCGGTACGTACCACACACACACACACACACACACACAGCAAAAACATTTCTAATCCCCGCCTGCTTTCGCATCACATCACAGATCATTGACGAGAGCGTACTGTGCGTGCACGGCGGTCTCAGTCCGGAGATAATAACGCTAGATCAAATACGAACAATCGAGCGCAACGGTGAGATACCCTATAAGGGCGCCTTCTGTGATCTGGTCTGGTCCGACCCGGAGGACATGGAATACTGGTGAATGCCCAAAATCCCTTTTCAATTTTCCTACAAATTCAAATACTTAGATGAGTAAAGCCACACCAGCCGCCATGGACGTTACTCATCTTCGTGTTAATATGGCCTTTGGTTCAGCTAATAACCCAGCTCTCTTTTAGGGGCCAGAGTCCGCGTGGCGCCGGCTGGCTGTTTGGCCATAATGTGACCAAAGACTTTATGACCATTAACAATCTGGACTTGATATGTCGAGCACATCAGCTGGTCAACGAGGGCATCAAGTACATGTTCGAGGGCAAACTGGTCACCGTTTGGTCCGCGCCCAACTATTGCTATCGTTGCGGCAATGTGGCGGCCATACTCAGCTTCGATACGGCGCAACAGAGGCAAACGAAAATCTTTCTGGCCGTGCCAGACTCGGAGCGTGTCATACCCAAACAGAATACGACGCCCTATTTCTTGTAAAGCTCCAAGCACGACAATGAAAACAAACCATCCAACGACCTACCGCACGTCCGACCGCCTGCCCGACCGACCGCCCGCCTGCCAGTCAACTGAGGTTCGCACTGCCAGCGACCAAATAGATTGAATTAAATAGCCGCGAAATCGGCAGACGCCAGCAGAGAAACCAAAACATAAACACACACACACACACACACATAGTCACACACAGTGACACTTACACCAATACCAATGCACACACAAGCTTGTAAACAGCATAATTCAGCACTTAGAGAGAGAGAGAGAATCGTATTCATTATTATGCTCAAAAGATTTGTTCAGCCTTGTATTTTGTTCCCGGTTATACGGCCGTTATTTTTATATATATATATATATATATATATTCTTATCTATTCGTTTAACAAATATCATTTAATATACATATATATATATATATTTTTTAATTATTTTTTTTTTGTTCACCTTTGTGCTATTTGTATTTAAATATTCATTGTGTGGCACAGAGCAAACCGAATTAGCGCCCCGTTCAAAAGGATAACTCATAAAAGCAAAAGACAACATGTAAATGCATTTCTTTTTCTTAACATTAATTAAGTGAAAGTTATTGTAGAGATTTAACAAAAACACAAAAAACACAAAAAACAAAAAAACAAAAAACGAACGTTTATCAATTTGCCTGTATTTAGGTATTAATGAATACTTTCTGTTTCCGATATTCAAATTGTTGGGTAGACTTTAATTGTTTTGCCTACAAATTTACTAAATGTTTAATAGCCTCTATGCTAAGTACAAAATATAGATCGCATCGCAAACGGTTTTTGTTTATTATGAAATGACGCCAACATATCCGAAAGATCCGGAGGAATCGAATTACTTAAGTGTTGAGAAAATCGCTTTCAACAAGAGCCTGATCTGATATTTGATCTTTGCAACGTAGCCACATACCAAATTGTAATATAATGGTCGTAATACTCTCCGAGTTGTGCAGGAAATAGTTTGCCCAACATGAACTGGAAGTATTGGGTGCCGAAAAACCGATTCTAACAAAGCTCAGAAGATGTAGAAAGTTATTGATTGAGCAGACTGAAGGTCAGGCATATACCTAGAGCATTTCCTCAGCCAACAAAACTAACCAAATCCAAATCTTAAGACTAGTGTCATTTTTTGATCGTAGAACGATTTTCATTTGTTCAGGGTTTCAATAGATGGTTCAGGGTATAAAAACTAAAATATAATATAATATAATATATTAATAATGGTTGATAAAGGATCAAATGCACAATTTAAAGGAACAAATCCTCAGTAAAGTATTCGACAAATTTTAGGATTTATGTAACAGACGATCAACTATCGGGCAACAATAAAATATAATATATAGTTATATGAGCAGAATACGTTCAAAGATGAATCTTTCTATTGACAACTTTTTGGTTTATCGAGAATTCTTGATCTATGAACTAGACTGTTCGGCACAACATATCGGACTTCTATATCGCATGGTTCCCATAGAAACCATCAGAGGTTCTAGTCGGGAGCCTGAATCCTCTTCTTCCGACAGGCGATAAAAATAAAATGAAAAATACTTGATATATGTATATATACTATTCTAAAAGCTAAATGTCAAGCTTGGACAGGATTTCGATATCGATTACTTCGAAACGGGGCAAGTTTTCGAATATCGGAAACAAACCCGATCTGCGCGGGCATTAGGAGGACCTACAGCCAAAATTTCGAGTCTCTAGCTCTTATAGGTTCGGAGATCCTTGCGTTCATACATACGGACGGACGGACAGACAGACGGACATGGCTAGATAGACTCGACTGTTGATGCTGATCAAGAATATATATACTTAATGGGCTCGGAGATGCTTCCTTCTGCCTGTAACATACATTTGCACAGAATTACATTTTACCCTTTTTACCCACTTTAAATGGGTTCAGGGTATAAAAACAATCTAAAGCCAAGTCAGGAATTATAAACTAACAAAAATATTAAAATATTAAACATCTACAATGAAAGTATAAATAAATATATTACAATGAAATCGATGAATCACAATTTTGCAAGAATCAAGCAAATTATTTATGGCTCTCGTGCGCTCTCGCTTGCACAACAGCAGGCTGTCTCCTTCACACACACACACACACACCATGTTTATAAACAAAAAGAGATGTTTATTGTTTTTGACCCAGTTCGCAAGAAAGTTAGATCAGAGTTAACGCTTTGACGAGCTATTTATTTTACAATTTGTTCAATATGCAATTCTTTGTTTTAGGAGGGAAAGAGAGGAAAATGGGGAAAAAAAAAATAGAAATTTTTGTTTATGAACAACGCGCATGCAGAGCGAAAATCATACGAGTATATATGGGACATCATTATATTATATTAGCACTTTTAATTATATGCAATAATAAACAATGACTATTTAATATAATGTGTAAGATATAATTATATAATTTTTTGTTTTTGTTTTCGTTTTCGTTTTCATGGCGCCCGGCCATTTCACAGTGTATGCAGAGTGTAACAACAACAATTACAATAGATTCGTTAATGTATATAATTAAAAAAAAAAAAATTAATAGATCATAGTTAAGAATTACAAAGTTTGCCTGCTGCAAAACAACAACTAGAAAAGGCATTAAAAAATCGCTGCAAATTTGTTTAAAAAAAAAAAATTAAATACAAAGTGAAAAAAAAAAAACTAAAACACATGCGTTAACAATTTTGGCAAAAAAAAGTCTTAAAAAAACAAAAACATTATTTTCAACAAGTGCAAGGTTTTTCATTTTTGTTTTGCTTTTTCCATTTGCATTTCCCTTTTTGTTTTTGTTTTGTTAAATGGAGAAAAGTTGTTGTTGTTGTTGTTGTTATTCTTCTAGTAGTTGTCGTCGTCGTGCTGTTCGTCTAGATAATCAGATTTAAAGCTTGAACGTAGATCCTTGATGCATTGCATCCGCGACAGCTGCAACTACTACTACTACTACTGCGGCGCAATATAATTGTGCTCAAAGATGTCCAGCTCGTTCTGTATATAGTTGGCCTTGTTGCGCAGCAGCTTGAGCTGCTTCTGGTTGGCCTCCAGCACGTTGAGCTGTGCCTCCAGCGTTTTTAGCTCCTCGTTCATATCGGTGGTGGCGGTGTCCACGGTGCGGCACAGGCGCGCAAATGTGCTGGACAGCTCCCTGATATGAAATTGATACGATATTAATTAAATATGATGGCCAATTTGAGTTGTAGCCCGCGTCTCGTGGAGTTCGGTTTGTTCACTTACTGCTGCACCTGGTGGCTGCAGTTGGCCGATGTTAGGTCGACAATCATTTTGAGCTTTTTGGTGGCATGTCGCCCATATTGGCCCTTAAAGGCGCGCTCCTTGGCCGAATTGGTCCACGACAGGCGCTCATACAAATAGATGCAGCCATAGAGGGCACCGATGCCAACGAGGACGCGCCAGCCGATCGTTTTCAGCATCTGCAAGTGTTCGGTTTTCAGCACATAGCGATATAATAGCACCTGCTAGGCAGCCGGTGAATATAATCAATGCAACTCGCACAACCATACTTACAATGCCGGCAACGACAAGACCGCCAACGGTGCCCTGCGATCCAATTGAGGACATGGCGAAACGTGATATAACCGATAGCTGTTCGGGCGTAATGCCGCCAACGCCGGGCGCGGGCAGCAGGCAAACGGGCGTTGTCTCCACGGGTGTGCTGACGGGCGTGACGACAGTATGCTAAAATGGAGTAGCAGACGTAATTGTAATCCGATTGCCAAGCTATGCTCGGACTGGCCTGGCTTACCCCAATACTGCTCTGGCGATTGACCAATGCGGGCGTATGCTTTTTGCTGCGCTCACGCACCTTGCCCGTGAACCGCTGTATCATGGCCGTAATGCCCCAGCTGAACTTGAACTCAAGATCCTCCTGGAAGTCGGCGCACAGATTCTGGCAGTTCAATGAGTAGAGCATCTCGAACGGTTGGGTGCGCACCGCCAGTTTGGCGCTGCTTGTCAGCAGCTGCTCATTCGGCACCAGGGCGTGCATTCGATCGGTCATCTCATTTTGGGCCGCCTCCACGTTCATGGCCAGCGCCATGGAGAGGCGAGCGCGCAGATTGCTGCCCAGGCCGCTTTCCACATGGGCGTTTAGCTCCTTCTTGTAGATGTTGAGCACCAGACGTTCCGGATGGAAGGGCATATTGAACTCATCGATGAGAACGCCGAGACGCCAGATTTCCTCGTTTAGGGCCTTCGATACCTTCTCCTCCACCTCCTCGACCATGTTGTGTATTTTCATTTTCATTTCGCGCGTCACCTGCATCATTTGCGTTTCGGTGCCCTGGATGCGTTCGGTTAGCATATTCTTTTGATCCTGCTTCAGATTGCGAAAGATTGTGATGCGCTCAAAGATGTTGTCCAGCATGGAGCGCATGTCCCCGGAGACGGTCTTGCCGCGCGAGCTGTGCTGCTGGAATTTGGTTTTGACGGCGCTCTGCGAGATGCACTCCTCGAATTTGCGCTCAAAGTCCTGAAACTCAAAGTAGCGTATCTGAAAGCCATCGGCAATGGCGCCCAAATGCGGCGGATTGCCCTTGGACTCCTCAATGCGCGCCTGCAGTGTCTCCCGGGCGGATACAAAGAATACACGCTCGCCGGCCTCCTTCTCATTGCTGACCTTCAGCTCCTTGGTGAGAAAATCGACGCAGCGTTCCGTGTGCTGCGATTTCACCTGCAGATCGAATAAGAGGAAGCAGCAGCAGCAGCAACAGCAGCAGCCATAAGGAGGAGCATTAGTTTAGATTCTGGCCTGAATTTGTTTAGAGTTTGCGAAAAAAAAACACAAAACTTTAACCATAAATATGCCTATGGGTACAATTTGTACATATTTTCCTGTTCTCTATGCGAGTTATCGACCAATAAGACATATTTATGTAGAACCGAAGCTTGTCAGGCAAATCAAAACAAAAAACAAAACAAAAGACAGGCAACAAAGCGCATTTTACGGAAACTGGGTCTGGATAACATTACCTTAGCCAGATCCTGGCGTTGTTACATATTGAAATTGGTAGGGTGTAGGTAAATGAAGGTAATCAAAAAAAAAAGTATACAAACAACATTTACAAATAGGCTTACGTAATATAACAATAGAGCAAAGAATTGGATATACATATATGCATGGATCTTACCGATTCCTGAAACTCTGGCTCGTTGGCCGACGCATCCCAGCGATTGTTCAATATAAAGATATTTGGCTTTGAAAGCTTCTGGGAAACGGTGTGAAAGAATTGCTTCTCGGCACGCGTCATTGTCGACTCGGCATTCAGTACCAAAACAAAAACGTCAGCATTTAGACAATGATTGTCAATCCAATCATCCAAATTGGCTGAAACATCAACGCCCGGCGAGTCCACAAAGACGACATCATCGCGCAACAAGCTGCAGCGTTCGCGTGGCCAAAAGATGCGCACCAAGCTGCTCTCGCAGAGCTTCTCCTGGCACAGCGCATTCGCCAATTGTTTAATGTTCTGCATAGCCACAAGAAACGAAACAATATGAGATTGGTGTTGTGTTGGCTGTTATCTGTGTTAAGGCATTTACCACCACGTTGAGCTTCTCATCGGAGCCCTCCTTCATGAGATAGGCCTCGCCGCCGTCGCTGCCTTCCACCTGGCAGAAACAGTTTGTTGTGTGTCCAATGCCGCTGGGCAATATCTTTTCACGCAACATGGCATTGATCACCGAGCTCTTGCCATTGGAGGTGCGTCCAAAGAAGGCGACCTTCATGTGATCCCGCTGCAGCACCTCACGTATGG